CTCCAGAATGATAAATCTCCTATCCCATGATATGGAGGGACCTTAGTATTAACTCATTAACTCACAGGCTCCTCCTATAATGAAGACTCATCTCTTAAATTGTTGTAACTCATCACATGATTTTTTAATGGAAAAAAGTCCTTCATTGCTGCATAAGTATTTCAACAAAATGCTCAACATTTCAGAGTAAATCATCTTACCTTATTTGTTACATAAAGTATTTGCATTCTACTTTTAAAAATTGTATCCTGATCTCTATATGTTGCTTTATTATCCTCTTAAATATCTGTCCAAAGTAAAGCAAAAATTAGATACAATCAAGCTTTGTAGCTCCTCTCTCCTACCTGTCATTGGTAGCTTCTGACAGCCAACAGTGGAAATTCGAAGTCAAACCATTTAATGCTAAGTACATGGAAGTGAATTTCCAGAGACTAGATATTGTTATCACATGAGCACTAGGCACAGTTGTACACTGACAGCAGAGATGAAGATGTAAATATGTAATTGTGATAGCTGTGCATGTATCACATGTATGCATTCAGGGTTAAGACATCATAAAATTTCTTTTCTCTCTCTCTCTCTCCATAGACTAATATGTAGATTTTAAGGGAGGGGAGGATATAAAATAAGAAAGTATACAGTTTAATGCTAACTGGAGCCCTTTTGGTTGGATGAGTGCCAAAGCAACTTTCAAAATATTTGAAAACAGCTGCTAGCATATAGAGATTTTAACTGAAAGAGTACAGTAATGAAATAGGAATTTCTAATAAGTGAATAAACTTATATTTTGCTTAAGGTCCTTAATGAACATGGAGATAAGCAGATCCAACAAGGACTTTTTCTCTCATGCATGCAAACCAAACTTCTGAAATTATACATGTAAGGACAAAATACTAGAGCTGACAAATGCATTCTAAGGTAACCTGTGCAAGTTATCTCTGAGTATCCTGTGTATTTCTGCTGTAGAAAGTTTCTGGAGGGCAGGAGCCACATTAGTTCTCTTAAATATGGGTGGTTGAAAGCTTGGAACTTGAAGCTGAATGTGCTCATTAAACTCTATTGTAACAGTATAAAGTATAATTGAAATAGCTTCAGCATATCTAGTTTCCAGTGTCTAACAACAGATCTTACATATTCTTCCTACTAGGACAATTTTGCCCTTTGGGAACACAGGAAAAAAAGTTGCTCTCCAAAAAGGAAAGGAAGCAGGGTCACATATTTCCAGACCAATTCTTCTGTAAAATAAATAGTCAATAAAATACAATTGCTGGTCTTTCCTACTCATAGAATCTTTATTGAAACAAAGAAAGATGATATTGTTTATAAATATAATTCACTGAAGATTGTGCAGAAAAACTTTAAAAGGGAAAATAAATTTCTAAAAATTCTACTCTTTTGGTCAAAAAGGGTTTTTCTCCCTTTGGCATCATTTGGCATATTGGGACTGTCTCCGTATCAGCAGGACCTGGCCTGGAATAAAGTATTACACTACTGGAATGGAAGGACTGTAGAAGCGGAGTGCCTTGCTGGAAGCCTCCATCATCTGACTTGGATACCAAGTGGCAGGTACAGCTCCACCCCACAGTGGGCCAATAATTCGCACAAAGCTGTTTTTTAGAAAGCCACTGCCTGCATCTGTGTTCATTTTCAGCTTCATTCATCAGCCATTTACTGGGCTTGCAGTACAGCGAGTACTACAGTACTGACCCACCTTGACCTATGAAATCAGAGAACTTTCCCACCCCATAAAACAGTCCTGACTTCTCTAGAATTGGTATGAACTCCCATTTCTTTCAAATGGAAAGCCTGCGCAGAGCCAAAGGGTGGTCTTTGAGATCTTCTCTTCCCATCCAGCCCTATGATGCGAGGTGACCTGCCTGCCTCCTGGCCGCGGTCTCCGAGTGGGACGAGGCCCCACATCCGTGACCAGATCCTCCAAAGGCGGCTTTCCGCCCCACCCTCTGCCCTACCCTTGTTCCACCCCACCCCGTTCAAAGACCTTGCGTTTGACCTGTGAAAAACAAGCATCTCCGAATGAAACGCCGGTTAGCTAGAAAATGACCCCTTCCCAGGAAGGAGGGATCAGGACCTTGGTTAGGTCTTCGGCTAACTCGTGGGATCCCTAACGCACGCCACAGATGCTCATTACGATTCTTTTTACGTGCAACATGTGGGGGACGAAGCAGTTTCCTATCTCCTGGTATTATCTGCCGTCCGAAGCATTTTCTTTGAGAGGAAAATGGGAACGCAGCTGCGCCGTGGGCCCGGCCAGCGAGAGCTGGGGCTCCCTCCAACTGTCTCCCCGCGGTTGCCGGGGGCGGGAGGCTCCTCCGGAAACTGATTCGGGTTAGAGGAGCTCAGAGGTCGCCTCCACCGGCAAAGAACGCCGCCGGGCGCGCACGGGCCTTTGTGCGGCTTAGCTGTTTCCCGAGAGCCACGAGGGTGGAAGGGGACGCCCAGGTCTGCTGCGAGGGCGGGCGTTGGGCCCCTTTGGAATAAAGTATTACACTACTGGAATGGAAGGACTGTAGAAGCGGAGTGCCTTGCTGGAAGCCTCCATCATCTGACTTGGATACCAAGTGGCAGGTACAGCTCCACCCCACAGTGGGCCAATAATTCGCACAAAGCTGTTTTTTAGAAAGCCACTGCCTGCATCTGTGTTCATTTTCAGCTTCATTCATCAGCCATTTACTGGGCTTGCAGTACAGCGAGTACTACAGTACTGACCCACCTTGACCTATGAAATCAGAGAACTTTCCCACCCCATAAAACAGTCCTGACTTCTCTAGAATTGGTATGAACTCCCATTTCTTTCAAATGGAAAGCCTGCGCAGAGCCAAAGGGTGGTCTTTGAGATCTTCTCTTCCCATCCAGCCCTATGATGCGAGGTGACCTGCCTGCCTCCTGGCCGCGGTCTCCGAGTGGGACGAGGCCCCACATCCGTGACCAGATCCTCCAAAGGCGGCTTTCCGCCCCACCCTCTGCCCTACCCTTGTTCCACCCCACCCCGTTCAAAGACCTTGCGTTTGACCTGTGAAAAACAAGCATCTCCGAATGAAACGCCGGTTAGCTAGAAAATGACCCCTTCCCAGGAAGGAGGGATCAGGACCTTGGTTAGGTCTTCGGCTAACTCGTGGGATCCCTAACGCACGCCACAGATGCTCATTACGATTCTTTTTACGTGCAACATGTGGGGGACGAAGCAGTTTCCTATCTCCTGGTATTATCTGCCGTCCGAAGCATTTTCTTTGAGAGGAAAATGGGAACGCAGCTGCGCCGTGGGCCCGGCCAGCGAGAGCTGGGGCTCCCTCCAACTGTCTCCCCGCGGTTGCCGGGGGCGGGAGGCTCCTCCGGAAACTGATTCGGGTTAGAGGAGCTCAGAGGTCGCCTCCACCGGCAAAGAACGCCGCCGGGCGCGCACGGGCCTTTGTGCGGCTTAGCTGTTTCCCGAGAGCCACGAGGGTGGAAGGGGACGCCCAGGTCTGCTGCGAGGGCGGGCGTTGGGCCCCTGGAGCGAGCGCGGGGGCGCTGGGCTGGGCCCTCTCTGCCGCTCTCGGCGCTGGCAACTTCTGGCCAATCGGGTCTGCCCCACAGGCGACGCCCCAGGCTCAAAGGGTTAAGCAGGTGTCTTGCCCGGCGAGGCGCTATTGGCCGAGGGCCGGGGCGCCACGGCCGCGGTCGCCACTCTCAGCAGAGCCAAGTTCGGTTCGCACGGCGGGTGCGGCAGCCACTCGAGCCCCGGCCGCCGGGCTCCGGCCTCCGAGCCCGGGGAGAGAACGGGAGAAGTGAACGAGATGGGGACACTGCCCCTAGCCCCAAGCGACCTTGGTCTGGGGAGGGACGCTCAAGAGGAGGGGAGCCCGAGGCCCGCGTTGAGCAGGGGTGCGTCCTCCATCTCGCAACTTCTGTCCCGCCTCGTGAGCCGGAAGAATGAGGGAGGAAGTAGGGCGACAGGGGGTCCTGGGCAGGGGGTGGGGGAAACGATCCCTTCTCACCGCCAGTACTCAATAGTCGGGCGAGAAGGAGTGCAAATTGTCATGAAAAAAGCAAAACACAAGCATCCCTCTTCACCCTCTAAGGCACACCGATGTAACAATGTGGAGAAGTAACTGGGAGACACGGAGAAATAAATGCACGTGTTTTCTCTTTTTGTTTCCCTGGTGGTTGGAATTTGCAGAGCTCTTCTCGTTATGGACGCTAATTTATTCATTTCAGCGTTGGAAAGGGGCTTATAAAGATGGGTCATCGGGGGTCACACCCGGCTACCTCTAGCTGGACCTATAGTTCCCACTTCTCAAGTTAGTCCAAGACCAAACCGCCTGCCCACAAGGAACGAGCAGAGTCCCTTCTTATAAAGGGAACAAACTCTGCATTGCACAAAAGCGGCTTATTTTGCCCCCTCCTCCTCAGCACACGGTGCTTCCTCGATAAGCATCAAGTTCTCCAGTAGTCCAACTTGCAATTGGCAATCCTCGCGCTGCCTGGTGTGCAGTAGACGGGCAGAGAGGGGTCCCGGCTGGAATCGGCTTATTTTGCCCCCTCCTCCTCAGCACACGGTGCTTCCTCGATAAGCATCAAGTTCTCCAGTAGTCCAACTTGCAATTGGCAATCCTCGCGCTGCCTGGTGTGCAGTAGACGGGCAGAGAGGGGTCCCGGCTGGAAGGGGAAGCTCTGCGCCCCCATTCCTGCACACGCGGACTGAAGTCCAGGTTGCTGGAAGCTGCGGGAGGCTCGAGCCTGCTTGGATGGTGGTTATTTCTCTAGAGAAAAGAGGGGAGAGACGCGCTTCAGTCTTGCATTTTGGGTCGGAAGTGCGCGGTGTGAATGTGTGTGCGTGTGCGTGTGTGTGTGTGTGTAGAGGGGCGAGAAAGAAAGGCATCCTCCGCTGCCCGTCATTCCCTTGCACGGGCCAAGTCCTCGCCAAGCCTCCCGGTGCATCCTTCCTCCTCCACCCCCTCCCCTTCTCCCCTCAGCTGGGCTCGCGCCGCGCAGCCAGAGCAGCCAGTGAGAGCAACATCCTGGAAAGAGGGGGGAGCACCAGCGCCCCCCCAAAAAGGAAAAAGGCCCCACCCTGACACGTTTTGCTGTTTGCAAGTCCCTCGCACGCCCCCCGCACCTCCTCCTAGCGCCCGCGGCCCCGCCACCCCAGCCCGCTGCGCGCACATCAAAGCGCCTCTCCGCCGCGCACAGTGGCCGCGGCTCACTAATGGGATTGCAGGCTGGTGCCTGGCTCCGTCGCTGCCACCGCCGCTGCTCGCCCTGCTGCTGCAGCCGCCGCCGGAGCCCGAGTCCTAACCCCCGCCAGTCCTCGCCCAGAGCCGCCGCTCCCGGGGATCGAAACCGCGGCGATGATCCGAATCTTTCCGGATTTCAGCGTGCAGGTGACGGCCGCGGCGGCCGGCGGGGCGGCCGCGGGGGTGCCGGCCAGCGCTGGCATGGGGAGGGCCGGCGCCGCGGCCAACGGCACCCCGCAGAACGTCCAGGGCATCACCTCCTACCAGCAGCGGTGAGTAGTCCCGCCTGGGTTGGGATAGTGCCTCCGCCCCGGGGTGCTGGGTGGGACACTCTTTGCCTCCTGTTTTATGCGTTACAACACACATGCACATCGCCAGGGCTCACTTTGCTTGCTCCTCGTTCTACAGATGAGAAAGAAAAAAATAATTCACAATTCGGACTGAAAGGCACTCCAGTGTATTGGCGAAGTGAAATCTTCCATTGCCCTCTGCCTGGCCCCAAATCCAGAGCCTCAGCTCCGCGTAGCCAAGGAGTTGAAGCGAAGTCTGAGATATCGCACAAGGTGCTTTTGCAAAGTTTGGGATACCCGTCCCCTTCAGCGGAATTTTCTCAGTGCCTCTGCCGGCTGCGGACCCGCGCTGACGGGCAGCCAGGGGGCAATTGATCACTGGAGGCTGATTGATCATTTGTTTCCAAACCGTATAGGAAAGATTTTCACGTGTAGCTGTCGACTTGCAATTCTACATAGTAGTGTTAATCATGTCACCTGTTACTATAGAGAAATACAGCAGGAAATTCGAGTCTCTTCGGCACTCAAGTATTCGTCTTAAACGCATTATAATGCAAATGAATAAGATTCAGAGATGCCAGTTAGGAAGCAAATTTTACCAAGTTAGGCTAGGTGGTGAGAAGGAAGTTTTGAAGTATTGCTTGCATTTCTCCCAAACATTTATAGATTAAAAAACATATATGTATCTGGCTGTAACATTGAAATAGTAAACATTCTTTGATTCAGTTAGAAAAGAAAGGGAAAAATTTACTGCCATCAACAGCCCTAGAACCCTAAAGTTTTTCCTTAAAGACAACTTGGGATGTTCCAAGATTTTATAAAAAATGTAATCCAGAAAAATATGTTGAAAAAAAATTAACAATGTAGTATGAAAGGCAAGCTCCCCATTTGTGGGGCTTGGTTTTTTAGTAGAAGGGAGAAAAAAAGAACACATGAAAGTGTGAAATTCAATATTTGTGTTTCCCAGATTGCACACGATTAAACAGCTGAGAGATTTGCCAATGGCATTTAAGTTAAAATATACACAATGCATAATTCAAATAACAGTTCCTATTTTTACCTTGTATTTCAAACTTCATTGATTTGAGAACCTTTGATTTGAACCAACAGTGTTTAAACTGAAAAGGTTAAGATAATCTATCACTGCCATATTTTGTGCCTTCTAACCAATGGCCCAGCGACCAGAGCAGATTTTGCATTATAACACTGTTTTCCAAGCTGATGCCCAGTATTGCAAATATTCTTTAGAAGACCTCCTTATATGCTGAGTACTGTAAGAAGTTTTAAAGTCTTGAAAATAATGAAAAAACAGGCTACTCCTTGTCAAAGATAATTTTTATTTATAATATTTTAGTCTCTTTTTACTTCAGTGATTACAAGAATCTTTAATACAAAAAATCTGGAAATCTTGAAACATAAAGGACTAGAAAAGAATTAGATTTTTCCTTTTCATGTTTCAGGTGTGTTTTCTTTTGTCACTTATAAAACATATAAATGACAATAGAACCTGGCGGTCACTTTAACTAGAATGTGCAGGCAATAGTCAAAATAATCTGGTCTGTGAAGTAGGGAGTCAAGGGTCAGAAATGTCAGATGGCCTTCGGATGATTTCAGGGACCTCTGGGGAACTCCAACAAATGGTTAAGATATAAACTGGGCATAAAGGCAGTTATAAATTTTCCTTTAGGTTTGCTCTCAGAGTGTTGGTGTCCTTCACTATGAAGATCTTTCCAGGGCCAATTTCCCCACCAGTCAGGAGCATCCAGGGGTAATCCTCCATAGTTCCCCACTCTAATATTGAAAGATGCACTGATACCTTCCACCTTCATCTTTGAATTTGGGCCACTTAATCAAGTCTCTGAATCCCACTGTGGTTCTAACGACTAAAGTTTTAAAAATAATCCAACTGTAAACTTGAACCTTGGGATGTATTATTCCCCTCTCTTTTTTAGGTTCTGTTAGATTGACAGAAGAGAGGGTGCCAGCTGTGAAAAATGTATAGCCTTCTTTGCTTTTGTTCCTCAGACATGATGACACCTGTTACTGCTTTTAATTTTAGTTAATTTGGGGACAGTAGAGTGAGTCTTGTGGGGCAAGGTTATTGTCAAGTGTTTAAGGGAGGGTGTGTGTCTCCAGGCCCCTGTCCTCTGATGCTTCATCGGGAATGTAGGCCACTAACATGGGAGGCTTTAGGGGCACTGAGGAGCTGACTTAATTTCCACCTCAAGACCTAGATGTTTGCTAAAGTGAATGGTGACACATCATTTTACCAAAAAGCTATTTTTGTGTTAAGTAGGTTTGGGGAGTCTAATGAGGGAGTGAGTGGGGTTTTTTTCAAGCAAAGAGTGGCCTGTTTGGCAGAACACCAGCTTCTCTCACTTATCATCTTTGGGCAGAAATGCCCTAGGCTGGCTGTCCTGGAGCCAAAACTTCTAATCCGCCACTTTGTCCCCTCCCTTCTTGCCCATGTATATCTTGTACTCAATACTCTTCACATAGTTCATTCTTCAATCACTCTCATCTTCTACCTGTAGAGTATGTTCCAAAGAGAACTCAGACATCGTCATGCAGATTAAACACCTCTGCCATGAGGAACACGTATGTTTTCAAAGTTTCCAACTCTCAGTTCCACGTTCCTGGAATAGTAGGACTGAATGGGACCCCTTTTCAGGACTATTTTTTTCTTATGCTTGATGTAAAATGCAAAGCGTCATATAGGACTGATGTTTTCTGTCTGGCTCTTTCACTTAGTCCAGGAGGGTATGCTTGGAGATGCTATTTTCCTGGATGACACATGACTGACCCAAGTCATCTGCCTAAAAAGATGCCCACAGCAGGCAGAGTGGTTTAGTGGAGAGAAAGCTCTAACCAGGGTCTACCCCAGGTGATGGCATTCCAGTATTGGCCCTGAACTAAGAGGCCCTTTCTCCAGGCCTCACTGAGCTGTAAAATGGGGATCCCAGAGGTCCACAGTCCGGTCTGGTACCAGGCATCAGGAGCCCACTGGGGAGAGGCATTTGTATCTAACTGCGCTTACACTCCTGGGGATTCACCTGTGCACTGCGGGATCTGCAGATATGTAAATGCGTGAAAACTGCAGATGCTCCGGCTTTGGAAACGCTGCTGAGTGCCCGAGCCATCAGGTGTCGGTGGCTCTTCGGGGCCCGCTGGCTTGGCCAGCGCACTCCCCACCCGCGTTTGTTTCCGCTGTCTCCGAAGGTGCGCCCGGGACGGCGTCCTGCCCGAGGCCACTCCAGTGCCCTCCAATTCCTCTCCATTTTGATACTCCCGAGAAGGCAACTGTTCGAAACTGCAACTGAGTGGCGTTGTTGCGCCGGCAGCCGAGCTCCCCAGTCCCTCAACGAGAGAGAGAGAGAGAGAGAGAGCGAGAGAGAGAGAGCGAGAGAG